AGTACAAGTTTGTCACTGATATGTGTGTATAGTTCATATTGTGATGGGTAGCTATTATAAGTTGAATTGACAGGTTAGAATTGAAGATAGTGACTAACAGAAAAAAAAAAACTATCATTTTTATCTTCTGCTTAAATGTTGCACTGATTTCTTATCAAGTATAAGACAAATGTTTTTAACACTCAGAAGGGCCCCCCAAGCTTCTACCTACCTATGAAGCTATACTTCCCACCTATACTAACTTCTCTTTAGACTATACCCTCAGTAACTGCATGGTATGCTTTGTAATTCCAGTGTTTTATCACATACTGTTCTTTTTTGTTTGTTTGTTTGGGGGGGGTTAGAGACAGTGTTTCTCTGTGTAGCTTAGGAGCCTCTCCTGGCACTCTCTCTCTCTAGGCCAGGCTGGTCTTGAACTCACAGAGATCCACCTGTGTCAGCTTTCCAAGTGCTGAGATTAAAGGTGCGTTTCACCATAGCCCGACTTATTGTTTACCCTTTCTTTTTAAACCTCTGCAATTATTAGTTTATCAGTATCATCCAGGACTCATGTTCAGTATTCCTCCTCAAATTACATAAACAAATGCAAACATAAAGAACCCAAGTCAAAATTATATAACAAACAGCACTCTATCACACAAAAGCATGTAAAATTACAAGAACACTATTTTTAAAACACTGGCACTTTAAGAGAATGGTAATCTCAAAAAACCACAGAATTGCCAAATTGTTCCCTAAACTGCTAAGCAGATTAAACATGACTAATGAATGAGTTTGGATTTTATAAAGAAAAACTAAATGGATCAGACAACTGGTACTAATATGAAAAACTTTATCATCTTTCCTTGTATCTGATTTATAAAGGGATAAGTCACAATATAGGAAAATATACCCTTACTTTAATTTTAAATGTGGCATAATTTTAAGAAAAGTTGGCTCAACTAATTAAAAATACTTTTTTAAAGTCAAGTTTCCTGAGCAATCCTGTATTTAGATAGATGGTCAAAGGCATTATAGCCAGTGTTCTCATCATAGCTTCCACTAGGACCAATGTCAGCAAAGTTTAATATGGAAGCCTTGTATTTTAAGCTCATGCTTTTGGGGATATATTCTCAAGTCTTTAATAGGGAACTGCAGAATGTAACTGCCATTACACAGTAATGGACGTTAAGAAATGAGTCCTCACATAAGGATTAGAACACAATTTTCTAGTAGTCCTTCAAGGACAGATTTTCAGATTGTTCAATTCTAGTAATTCCATGGTGTGATAGAATTGTTCACTCTCCACTTTGCACATGGGTTATGTACTATCTCTTATTCAACTGATCACAGTTTTTGCAATTTCAATTATGGATGAAAATGTTACCCATCACAATACACAGGGTGTGTAACCCCCTCCCCCCAGCTAACTATATTGAAAAGCACTGAAATAATTCATGTGACCCAAAATAGGCAAAAGAAAACACTAGCTTCCCCTTCAGAAGAAAAATTTGAGACCTATGAAAAGGACAACAATACTAATAAAAAAAATGTATTTACTTAGAAGCATTCAGAATATCAACAAAACAGCTGCAATTATTTTGCAATTACAGAGTGGTATTCAGTTAACAGAAAAATTATCTTTGTATAAGCTGTATCAGAGACAACTGAAGATTGAAAAAAAAAACCCAAAACAAAAAAAGAAAACCAAAACAAAAACTACCGTCCCCATATATAACTAATTTGTGCTGTGCATCAAGCTCCTGCTTTAAATTCCCATGCCAATTTACAACCCCCAGACTGTACCAGGCAAGGTTAGTGGCTATTGAAAATACCAGGGCTACTTAAAGACACATTCGGTAGTGTGTTAACTATACAAAAAAAAGACACTGTACAGTTTAAAAACAAATCTTACAGAGCCTTACATTTCAATTTTTTTCTTTAAAAGGAGTGATTTGTGTACAGGGGGGTTAAATGCTTTATAGACAAAAAAAAAACTGCCCTAGAACCAACTTATTCATCATCATCTTCTACATTTTCGTCTTCCTCATCCTCTTCATCCTCCTCATCATCTTCCTCTTCCTTCTTTTTCTTGCTCTGTTCTGCCTTGACCACCCCCTTTTTCACTGCATTGGGTTTCCCTTTAGTTCTGTAATCAGCAATATCCTTTCCATACTTCTCTTTCAGCTTGGCAGCCTTCTTTTCATAGGGCTGCTTGTCATCTGCAGCAGTGTTGTTCCACATCTCTCCCAGTTTCTTTGCAACATCACCAATGGACAAGCCTGGGTGTTCTCCTTTGATTTTTGGGCAATACTCAAAACAGAGCAAGAAGAAGGCCGAATGAGGCCTCTTGGGTGCATTGGGGTCCTTGAACATTTTTTTTGTCTCCCCTTTGGGGGGGGGTGTAGGTTTTCATTTCTCTTTCATAAGAAGCCTTGTCCGCCTTTGCCATGTCTTCAAATTCCCCCTTTACTTTAGCAGACATGGTCTTCCACCTTTCTGAGCATTTCTTGGAGAACTCTGAGAAGTTGACAGAAGCATCCGGATGCTTCTTCTTGTGTTCCTTCCGGCAAGTTTGCACAAAGAATGCATATGAGAACATTTTGCCTCTCGGCTTTTTAGGATCTCCTTTGCCCATGTTCAGTTGATTTTCTTCCGCGAGGCACAGAGTCGCCCAGTGCCCGTCCGGCTCGCACTTGCCCCGGCGCTTTCTCTATAGAGCTCAATGTACTTCAATGGCTGTGAGAGTGGGAGCCAGATGCAGCCTCCTCACTCTCTCTGCTCGGTAACATCCACTGTTTACCCTTTTTGACATGTCCTGCATTACTAAATTGCAAGGTGGATTTGTTTATTATAGAGATTTCTATATAGAAATTATTAGCTCAGACTGCACATGATAGCACAAACCTTTGACTCCAGCTCTTCACAGGTAGTGGCAGGCAGATTTCTATGAGATTCAGGCAAGCTGTGACATAAAGATTTCTAGGTCACCAAGGACAACATAATGAAATACTGTCTAAAATACATAAATGAATAAGACTACCTTTGGGAATCTCCTGAGTGTTCCTTTCACATAGCCAATCCATGTATCAATTATTGTGTTTATAAATGAGCAAATGTTTTGAATATTTAGTATGGGCCAGATTATGTAATATACTAGGAAAACCACGTGAAATAGGAAAAGTCAAACATGGCCTTTATCCCTCTTGGCCTTATTTTTAGAATTCCACACATACGCACAAGCAAAAGGACTATCAGTTTACTATGCCCCATAAATTAAAGAATAAGTTCTAACATTTTGAAAAAAAGGATGAGAGGTAGACAGGGGCAAATTATTTCATTATAAGGTTGAGTTATATAAAATTGTTGGTGTTAAAACATTGTGCCTTAACATATCAGGGGCGTTATATAATTCATTCTATATATATTTTTTCCTGAGGAATTGATATTTAAACTTAAACCTGAAGGATTGTAACTATAAATGCTCAAGTTTAGAAATTGTTATATTTCATGATCCAAGAAAAATGTAAACAAGAGTTAGTGACTAGATTAAAGTAAGAGTGAAAATTAAGGTATTTATAATAATTAATAATACATGTATAACATTTTTATTGAATTTTGATAAAATGTTAAGCTTTTAGATATTTTCACAATTTCTCCAATTACTGTGGACCTGTAATAGAAGACAGGAAGTAGAAGTATGGAAATAATTTAAAATTAGTCATGAAGGATAAATATAATGTGTTATATGCATAGGGTTTGAAAATAAAGCAGCTTTGATTTAAGTTCTCTTTATATCTTAATTTTGTCTCTGTTACTTCATGCAAGTATTAGTCAAAATATCTAAGCCTTAGATTTTCTGTGAAATGGGTTAAATGATAGGGTCAATTTCATAGACTTAGGCTCAGAATTGAATGAGATAATCCATTGTAGTGATTAACAATTCCTTGGTTATACATATTTAGTAAATGCTAAATATTGAGATCAATTGGGAAGTAATAGTAGCATAGAAAAAGCTAAAAACAATGCATTTGGGGTAAAATGATTAGAATGGTAAGTATCATAAAGGTTTTAACAGCCCAATCTGGTAATGCCTTCCATATGAGAGACGAGAAGGGATTTTCCAGATATTACCCCTGGGTTTCTGTCAAAAGAAATGGAAGTAGATTTTTATGTAGCTACCTACGTTAAAGAGTATCTATGTGCCTAGTAGATTTTAGCTGTAAAATTTCCTGTCTTTACCATGTAAGGCAGGAATGAAAGAAAGAATAAAATGGAATATTAGATTCTATGTACAATAAAATGGTTATTAAACAATTCTGGCACCTTTCAGACTCTTACATGCGATCTATAAAATCCATTTAATTTTTTAATTCATAGTATATTGTCTGTACTAAGAAAAAATAAATTGATATGTAGATTTTACCTATAATGCAACAGTTTTGAAATTTTCTTTTTAAATATAATATTTTAGTACTTGGAGAACTTCATACAGTGTAATTTGATCATATTTACCCCTACCCAAAAAAAACTTATTCCTTAACTTTTTCCAGATCCATTCTTCCATCTCTTACATCCATTTTGAGTATTCTTTTTTTTAAAAAAATAATACTCTTCATCTTTGTTTGTGCTGCTCATGTACTCATGGGTATGGGGTCATTCACTAGACAACAGTCATCCTACCAGGAGCAATACCTTTAAAAGTCCAACTGTCTCTCCCTAGAATCTGTCAGTTGTTAACAGTTCCTTTGTTAGAGGTAGAGCTTGGAGTTCCTCTCATCTTTGTGAAAGAATTGTGACTGCTTGATCTTGTCCAGAAAAGCACAGCCTCTATGACTTCATGATTGCAATAGTCTTAGCATGTTCAGAAAACACTAAATTGCTCTGTTTCTGATCTAATTTTCATGTATACAACCTTTCCCCTCCTCTTCAATGATGATTACTAATGAAATTCACAGATAAACATATATATTATTGTGCCTTAAAGGTGTTCAATTATTCTCTGATTGCTTCTATCACAGAATGAAGACTACATAGTAAACTAGAAGTAACCTTGACAACTGATAGTCTTCTCTGACAACCACCTGGCACCATGGGGAAGCGTGATAACCGAGTAGCATATATGAATCCTATAGCAATGGCCAGATGGAGGGGTGCAAGTCAATCTGCAGGCCCAACTATACAAGATTATCTTAATCGACCAAGGCCCACCTGGGAAGAAGTAAAAAAACAATTAGAGAATAAAAAGAAAGGATCTAAGGCATTGGCTGAATTTGAAGAAAAAATGAATCAAAATTGGAAGAAAGAGCTTGAGAAAAGCAGAGAGAAAATATTAGGTGGAAATGTCAGTTCATCCAAAAGGAAAGAGAGAAAGAAAAAGAAAAAGAAGAAATCTTGTCGGTACACCTCATCATCATCAAGCTCTGATTCATCAAGCAGTGCTTCAGATTCTGAAGATGAGCATAAGAAACAAGGGAAAAGGAGAAAGAAAAAAAAGAACCGTTCCCACAAGTCATCAGAAAGCTCCACCGGTGAATCAGAATTGCTAAGCAAGGAGCTTCTCCCAAAGAAGAAAAAGGCAAAGGATGAAACAGAAAAAGAAAAATATGCAAAAAGCTACAGCAAGAAAAGAAAGAAGGCTTGTCCTGAGGAAAAGCCATCCTCTTCAGATTCCTCATTTGAATCAGATTATGAAGAAGAGGTGCAGGCAAAAAAGAAAAGAAAATATGATGAGCAAGAAAGACAAATGGAAAAGGTAAAAAAGAAAAAAAAGAAGAAACATCACAAGAAACACAGTAAGAAGAAAAAGAAGAAATCTAGTTCAAGTCACAAGTCAATGTAATAGAAAAACCAAATAGGCTTTCCATATTTAAAATGAAGCAAAATCTAAAGGACACTTCAACTGTGAAAAGCAAGGTGATATTTACCAAAATGCATGAGATTCCCTGTGTTAATAGAATTATTCTGGACTTTAAGTTGCCAGTAAAATGCCACTGTGCCAGAAAAGACTGTATTTGTTGCCTGCAATATATGTATGTATATATGTATGTATATATATATATATACATACATATATTGCATATATATATGGTTTTGTTTGTTTATTGTCTGTCTTTATGGTAATAGTTACTCCTCTGGGAACCGAAACTCAGTTGTTATACTAGTGTTAAAATGTTTGGAGTTCAATTAAAATGTTTTAGACAATGAATAACTTTGACCAAAAATATATCTAATGTTAAATGTATATAATTTTTAGACATCTTTAAATTATAGTCAGAAACATGCTGACAATTATAGTTGACATTTTGAAGATAAGACAGCATTGTTGATCAAAAATTAATTTTGTATAGTATTTTATTGATGTTACATTGTTTTAAAATTTTGGTTTACATTGGGGAAGGGCGCAAGTCAGGGAGTGGGAAGGGGAAGTGTTTGCTACTCTGGTTAGCTGAATAGTGTGCCTTTAATCCTTACACATCTTGTTTTTGTCAGTGCAGCAGCTATTTATTTTTTACATACTGAAATTGTAGAATGTTGTTATGTATTGTATCAAAAGAACAAGAAAGCAGTTTACAGCGTAAAACCCCCAAAGCCAGGACATTTACCTGCACTTTAGCCCTATTCATTGTCCAGTAGTAAATGCTACTTAACATTAAAACACTATATGATTTGAATTAACTGTTGGTTTTTTGAAGGAGAATCATTTTAAACTGTCCCTGGTTTAATTTGTTTTTTTTTTTTTTACTAATAAACATTATGATTTTTGTGCACCTTATCCTGCCACTTTAATTATCCAGTGACATTCTTTATGACAAGTGGTAATACTTTGAAAAGGAAATTTTGGTTAAGATAGAAACTTCAAGTTTTCATATGTTGAACTTTGGGTGTTGATTTCATCTCATTGCTTTAAATTGTACATTTCCCAAAATATTTAGCTTGTAAAAAGGTCTTTAAGAAATTTTAATGCCTTCATATTGAAGCTGGTTTACTAAAAGCAAGTTGAGTGTCAAACTTTTAGTATTCTGTGTGTCTTGTTACATAAACTACTGCCAAAATATTAGTATGTTCATTAAAAGTTTCTTGTCTTTTAATATTAGCACTGAAGTATAATGAAATTTAAATTTATGTAATGAATATATAATTTATTATTTGTGTCCATATATTACTAAGATACAGTGCCTTGTGTCTGTTGCTGATTCGTGTTCACCACTAATGTTAAACATGAGTTGAAAAATATTTTTACTTTACATTAATATATCAGAGTAGTACAAATTATAAGTTTATGTTTCAAAAACACCTATTACAGAAGATTCACTAATAATGTCATGGTATAAATTATTTTGTCATGAAGAGATAGGCTCAGTGTTTCTTTCAAACAGGTGATTTAACCTCTGATTATCTGAATCAATAGCAAAATTATAGAAACCCTCTAGTAAATTAATTACTTGTCATCTGTGCAGAATGTTTCAGTGGTAATATCAGCCTCTCTCAATGTGAGTCTTGCAGTATTAGAGTAGTGCCAAGCCAGAACACCTTGGAATTTCATACATACAACTGTTTCTTAAAATATATCTATATGTATATTGCTGATAAAATTATTGCATTTAAGAAGTATTTTATAGCCATATAGTGTTTTTCAATAGTATTCATTAAATGTTTTCCAAAGCTATATTATTTATAGAATATAGCAAAGCATTTACAATTCATCCTATAGCTCTGTGCTCCCATTCATTTCCCAGCTCTTTCTAGTTAAAGGGTTCCATTTGACTGCTTAGAATGTGGTAATTGAAAAGAGAAGTGATGTGTCATTTCCATCTTTGAGCAGAAACAATTCCTGCATGACACTTCAGCTGTATCTTTACCTTCCACCATAACTGGAATGATGCAAGCTGTATCTTTATGTCACAAGTTGCAAGGAGTTTGCCCTGGAAAACTCATGAATTTGCAATGGAATTTTTAGGGTAATGGAAATAATAAATAAATTATTATGTGTTCAGCTACTTAGATCTTGGGTCTCTTCTTTTTGAATCACCACCTAACCTAACCTATCATGAAGAATAACATAGAGTTCTACATATTTTTATCATTTAAAAAGGTAATTTAATTACCTTTATTAGACATTTCTACAGATGGCTGATCAGTACATAGAAATCATATATGTCATATTGAAAGAACATGTTACATTCATTTTCATATACTGACATATTTTCACTTGAAATTGGTTGATTTGATATCCTATTTCATTCTACTGATTATAGCCTAAACAAATTTGAGAAGGAAAATTACTTAAAATATTTACAGCTATTTGATGAGGAAGAATACTGATGTTTAGGTTTAGGTACATGTTTTTATAAAAAAGTGCTCTAGAAGTATTTAAGGACTAATAGACTAGGTGGATTAAGTGATTATTTAACATGTAGACTCCATATTGAAGCAATATCTTCATCTGCCAAGCACTATAATTGCTTTTAATGATTTGTTTATGTGACTGAAAAGAAAGCTTCAACCATAGCACTCAAGTAAAGTTTACTTGATAAAGGAAACAGCAAGGATATTAATAAGCAAGAGAGAAGGTGGAAAAATCAATACGATCTAAATTAGGGATTTAGTTGCATGGACATAAAGGATCTGAAATATCTCATACTGAAGAGAAAGTATCAAGTTGAGATAAGAGAATGGTTAAATTAGTATCCTGGCTTTGCACTCAGTGATAACTTTGTAATTATATATTTATTTTGATTTATTAAAGCTGCTAATTGTATTACAATAGGCAAGATTATTTGTGAGAGTGCAAATAAGGTATCACCATATTTTACCGTTTTGTCTAAAAAAAGGTTGTAATATAAGAAAAACTATATACAATAAGTACAATAACTATATACAATATACAGAGGCAATAAATACATCAAAAATGTCTAGTCCATTAGCAACTGACAAATTAAAAGAAAACACTCCATATCTGACCTATCTTGGTGAGTCCAAAAGGTTGTACATAATTCACTTTCTATTCTAACTTGTTTTGCCAAAACTATCATTTAATGATGCTCAACTTTATACATTTTACAACTCTGGCATCTCTGGTGAATTTAATGAATTGTGCATGCGTGTCTGTGCATGCATGTGCCTGTGTGTGTGTGTGTGTGTGTGTGTGTGTGTGGTGCTTGTGTATGTATGGGTTTGTGTGTAAGATTTATCCCAGAGGTTGACATTCACCCTTCATTGCAGGGACGGAGATGTTGTACAGAATCTTTCACTGAATTGGAACATTACTGATTCAGGTAAATTGGCTAGTCATGAATCCCTATCATGACCCACTTCCAGCACTGGGATTACTAATATATACTACCTTTTAAATGATTCTTGTGATTCAAACTCAGGTCCTCATGCTTTTATTACAAATACTTTGCCACCTCACCATTTTCAGAGCTCTCAGTAGTCATTTCTGTTTAGATTTATGCCATAAATTATTTTATTTAACATGTTTCTTTAGAGCTAATTTATGCCTTATGAACATTTCAGGCTGACATTCAGAAACATCCTTGTATTGTACTTGGGATGAACTGAGATTTTTACTCCTTCCTGAGATGTAAAACAAAAAAAAAGGACTTTATGATTCATCAACATGTGCTACATTTTGAAAATATGTTATTTGAAACAAAATATTTTACATCACAGGTAGGTCTCAAAACTCACCATGTAGCCCAAGAAATACCTTGAAATTATCATCATCCTGCCTCTAGAATGTACTGCCATAACAGGTTTATACCTGTAGAGGACTGAGTAGCAATTTTACTTGGCTCTTTAGTGGTATTGTTCTTGTTTGATTTTTAATAATGTGCAATTGCACCATATCTGTGTCAAAGAAAAAATAAAGAAATTGAGGACTTCTTAAAATTCAACAAGAATGAGTATACAACATACCCTAACTTATGGGAAACCTTGAAAACAGTGCTACAGGGGAACTTCCTGAAGATGTCCTGAACACAGTAGAACTGCCTATCCATTCAGAACCACCTGGAATCCCCACCTGCCTGGTCTCTGACACCCACTGCAAGTCTCCTCCCAGAGATCCACCTATCCCTGTGTGGCCTCTCTAAGTCCCTGCAGGCTAGATCCTTGACCCCTATTGCCAGGCCTCTGCTAAAGAGACCTCAGCTGGAGAGTGCCAAGCCTAGGCTAGATGGCCCTATCAGCAAGCTGAACATCCTGAGTCCCAGCATTCAGGATCTTTGACCCCCATCGCCATAAGTTTGGGTATATTGTGTTCTCATTTCTCATTGAATTTTAGGAAGTTCCCTGAAGGTGGCAAGATTGTTGGCTCCACCCTATGTCCCCCATCTCCAGGAATCTTAATTGTCTAAATACAACCTAAAACCATAAAGCATTGTAGCCTATTGATACGAAAACTGCAATGATTGCCATTTATACAGCAGAAATCAGAAAGTGAAACCATGAAGTTTAGAGGAACAATGATATATAAGCATGGGTAATGTGGACAGAAGATTCTATCCTACCAGATCCCACACCAATCAGTCTTAAATAAACAAACAGAAGCTAATATTAAGTATAAACTGGCTGACTTCTCAGGGTTCTTACTGACTATATGTCTCTTAATTATTAACCCATATCTATTAATTTATGTATCCCCACATGGTCTTGGCTTTCTGGAAAATGTCCAGGCATCCTGCCTTCCCAAAGGCTATATGGTGTCTCTCTCTCTCTCTCTCTCTCTGGCTACTGCTCCCTGCCTTCATCTTCCCAGAATTATTCTAGTCCAGTAGCCCTGTTATACTTCTTGCTTGGCTACTAGCAAATCAACATTTGTTCATCAACCAATAAGAGAAACATATTCACAACACGCAGAAAGTAATCTTCGATCAGGGTA